AATGTGAGGCTGTATGGCATCAACCATACGGTGCACGCGTCCAGCAATCTGTGCTTCGGCGTGGATCAGGCGATGCTGAGATACCAGGCCTACCTGATACTGAGCCGCAACCGAGACAGGGACCCGGAGCCCATCGACAGCCCGTGCCTTCCTATTGGCTCCAAGGTCACCGTCTCGGGCGCCCAATTCAAGGACCAAATCTGCGTGAAGACTAAGTCCCAGACCATCGACTACGCGATGAACTACACGTTCAACGGCGTGAGTGTCGATAAAGACGGCACCGACTGCTCGATGATTGTCTCCAAACACCTGTTAGACCGCAAAGAATGTGACAAAATGTTTGACCTGTGCTTCGACTCGTCGGATAGGGCGCCGCCAAACGCTACCCAATTCTACGCCCTGTCCTCTTACTACTACACCGTCAGGATATTGAACTTAACGGACGGTCGGGTAGCCTCGGCCGACGAGTTCCGGCAAAAGACTGACAAATTCTGTGAGCAGAACAGGGATGATATGCTGAAGAACCCGCTGGTGGTTCACAAATACGTGGATCAGTACTGCTTTCAACTCAACTACATCTACACGACCATCAAAAGTGTGTATAAGTTTGCGGACAATATGTGGCGAAACATCAAGTTCTCCAATACCATCAAAAACACGACTCTGGGCTGGAGTTTGGGGTTTATGATCAACGCCACAAACGCTATAGCGGCCGAAAAGCCCACACCGCCGGTGGTCGAGCTCTTCCCGTTCATACTTGTCGTCTATAAGACAAGCGACTAAGACCGCAAATCACATATAAAGCCACAGTTTACCATATTTCTCAGCCTTGTGGTCGCTTTCCTTGTCATGCTTGGGTAATGATATTCGCGAATTGTGTATAGTAATGTATCCAGTCCTAAGTCAGACACACAAACACACGCATACATACATAGACAGACAGACCACTATTTATTTAGGTTAACAAATTATACCATCGGATTGTCTTAAGACACGAACCATATATATAGATAAGAAAAGCCTATTTGTTTGCGTTTATGAATTAATTTTGTGTTTTTTCTGTCCGTTTTTTGAATACAGATTGCAATTGCAGGCGAAAGCGAGTTATGTTTAGTACAAACACAATGCTAACTATTTTTTAGTACTGTATGTCATAAATATTGAGTGTTTTTACGCCAGTAACAAATGATTTAGCCGGTAAATTTTTTACCATATATATTTGTATTAAGAAAACACACACACCCAGGCTATTATTTTTTTAATTGTAATTATTATATATAGAAAAAAATTAATATGTAATTTTAAATTTTAAAATCATGTTATCAAATGTTTTGTTTAAATTTGAATTGAATTTACCTGTAATTATATAAATATAAATGCGAAAAAAAGTAATTGAAATTAAGTAATAATGAAACTTTGTTTAAACAGCAGTTTTATTGCTATAATAAAATCGTTTTATAATATCAAAAATACAATTAACTTTTTATTGCATACCGTATATAAAATAATTTACATCTAAAAAACAATGGCTTTTGTGATACAAGTGATACGAAAAAACTTTTATAAGTTTTATATTACCGGATGACTAGTACCCCTGACACCCCCCTCTCGTAGATAAAACACTCCTTTTTGTATAACCATTTGATGTCTAATTACTACTTATTAATAATTATCTATAACTTGGAGATTAGCTATTGATTGCTAAGCACTTGAAAATAAAGTCTAAAATCCAGTGATTGTCACATGAGATACACAACACAGCGACTAATGGTTTGGCAATCATTTTGACGCCAAAATCAAAGACCGTTTGACATCCCTTTCAAACAGTTCCTCACCAGTGATGCTAACCATTCACACGATTGCCACACCATTAGTCGCCACCATATCTCTCGCCCACCACTACCTCCGCAGTCGTGTGTCAATCACTCGCTGACACACAGACGCATACCTAACAGTAAGCACCAGATGGTTATGAAGAGCGACTGGACGGGTGTGGAAAGGGGTGTCGGCTTATGGGAGGGGCGCCTATCGGTGGGGCACTACTTGTGCGGCGGCGGCTGTTGCGGAAACACTGGCTGAAGACGTTTCTCTTTCTCCGTTTGGTTGTATTTCTCGGTCTCAATGGTTTCGATGCGTTTCGATGTCTGCGTCTGCAGTGCCAGCGCCCGCCTCTTCAGCTGATCGCTGGTGTGTCGCAGTGTCTGCATCTCCTTCTTGATGGCCACCAACTTCTGGAGGTAGTGGTTGGCGGTGGCGAGCGTGCCGTCGATGTCGATGTCTTTGTCCAGAGTCTGGAACTTCTCGTTCTCGGCCTCCAGAGAGTCGATGATCGACTGCTGGTAACGGTTCAGCTCATCCATCGGGTGATGTCTTGGGCTCACAGTGGTGTCAATGGTGTCGATGAATGTCTTGTGGGAAATGGCAACTGATTTGATGATTGATTTGTGGACTGTTTTTGTGGTGTTTTTGTTGATATCTCTCGTATACCACGTGACCCACGAAACTATACACACATAATGTGACACAAAATAATTTCTTTTGCTTTCATTGATTGCATTGAAATGATAGGCCATTCAAACGCAGTGGACAACAAAATACGTGTAATTCGTAACGTATTTGTGTGTAAGCGCTGAACGCATAGCCATCTGTTGGCCGCAAACGCAATGAAATGAATGTTTTATTATTGAAAAACAAATCGCGATTTCATTTGACTTTTAAATCAATTGTTTTTCTCTGTATTTATCACCGGATTTAAGACACGTGTCGATGACATACTGACCACCATTTGTGGCACCAATTGATTGGCCGGCACACCAGCAGACACACCGCACCGACGATGGCGTCCAAGAGGGGACCCAAAGTGAAACTCATGGCAATGCCGTCGCAAAACTTCATTGCATTGGGTATGTATGCCATCCGTGCCGTTGATATCTCGATGACGGTGTGGACACTCATTGTCTCGTTGTGTCATCAACTCAAACGAGATAATCAATTGACAATAAATAGCTTAAGAGTCGCTGAAATGCATGACACACACGAACTCTTAGACCGTATTATCTCATGTGTCGGAACAGTTACCGGCTTTCCATGTCTTAACCGCCCATTAATGCCATTCACGATATCTCATTGACACCTCTTAGGCACGACCTCATCGGGCGCGCCATCAGCGCAACAGTCGCTGAAGACGGCGCCCAAACGCGAGCCAATCAACGAGACAACGGTGCCGGCGGTGGCGCCCAAGAAGTCCAAACTCCAGTTATCGCATCACATGACCCGCTCGTCGGGAGGCGTCCCTCAGGGGGCGGCCGTACGCCGCGAGGCGGGCGACCAGTGGGAAGAGGCGGCCCAAGAGGTGGATCCGTCGACGCTGTTGGACAGAGTGCTGGAGGCGGAGGACGTGTCGGACGAGAGGGTGGAGGCGTTGCTGTGCGGCGCCGTTCGCCAGTTGCGGGCCATGCGCTCGAAGCCGGTGCCCGACTCGGCCCTCTATCTCACGCTCTGCTATTTGGCCAAAACCCGGCCCCTCCTCTTCTGCACGGAGATAGTGGTCGAGGCGTTCTGTTCGCTGTTGAGGCGCGACTCCCAGCCCACGGCACTCGGCTTTAAGAACAAAGCGGGCGCCGCGAGTCAGGTGCCGGTGCTGGCGGCCAACCTACTGCTGTGCGTATACCACGATGAGACTTCATGGCCCGACACCTTCCTCAAGGTGTTCGTGGAGGACTCGTTGGGCGACAGGGTTTGGGTCGATCACGACGCCTGCAAGGGCTTCGTGGACAACATAATGGCCTCGTTCGGCACCCGTATGCCGCCCAAGTCGATGATGCAACAGGACGTGCTGTCGGCTACCGGTGCCGCGGTGGCCGCCGTGACTAAATTGGTTGATCCGGCGGCCGGCGCCACGTCCAGTCCCTCGCACTTGACTTCGGGCGACGACGCCTCCATGGATGAGACGCTGACTACCGGCGCCGCGACGGTATCCGAGACGAAGGAGATGTTGGACAACATTGCGGTGATGTCGCGGTTCGCACACAACGAACAGTTTGTGGTGCAGTACGTGACGGATGTCATCAATGAGGCGCTGAACAGGAGGACCACCGCCAGCGATGTGTCCAGAAATTTGCTGAAACTCATGATCTCGACGGCCGGTATACCAGAGGTTCGGCTCATTATCGCACAGAAGCTGGAGGTGTGGATCCAGAACCCGAAGGTAAGGGAACTGTAGTTTTTATTATCAGCGAGTAATTAGATAATTGATTTTTTGATGTCTTAACCACAGCTCACACGCCCAGCGCAGGACCTAATGCTCGGCCTGTGTCTCAATTGCAACGAATCCGACGCCGAAGTGATCGGAATGTTAGTGAAGATGCGACTGAAGACCAAACCGCTCATCAATCACTTCATAACGTGCGTCAAAGAGATGCTGAGCCAAAGCGTCGACACGTTTCGACTGGTGCTGCGGACCGTACTCTACAACGAGGTGTCGCCCACGAGGAGTCTCAACAACATTCAGTTGATATCCATTATGTTTCAACACTCGGCCGACCGGTCGACTCAAGTGTTGGCCGACGTCTTCCAGGAGATGCTCTTCAGTCGCGACGATTACCTAAAGACACTCCGGGGTCTGTTGCGTGAGATCGTGCGGGCCCTCCGACACGAGCACCTGAACCTCTTGACGTTCGCCGAGTCGCTCATCGACGACGGCCCGGCTTTTGCCGATTTAGAGCCTAACGACTCGGGCATTAAGGAGAGGGCGGTGGTGGCCATCACTGATCTGTTGACAATGATTATGTTCCTGAGTCTGAGTCCGGCCGTCAAGGAGGCCGTGTCCACCACCAAGACTGACAGGAGGGGTACGAGTGCTTGGTTGGGATGTTAAGCGGTTTCTTAATTGTAATTTAAATGTTTTTTGTTTGGTTTTATTCGTAGAGATTATACGCAACTATCAGATGCAGAACTCAAACATCCAGCGCATTGCCATTCATTGGCTTCAGCGGACGGTCATTAAGCGCTACCGGCCCGACCGCAGCGACTACTTGCACTGGTATGCCATGAGATATATACGGTACTGTATATACGAATTGGTGTTTAATGTTATTGTTTGTGTACTTGAAGTCTGAATAAAGTGCTGTTTATGGAGAGCGCCGAACACTATTACAATAGGGATGGTTGGCCTCCGGAGAACGACCGCAACCTTATGTTCCGCATGACGTCCGAAGTGCCACTACTGGAGGAGACGCTGATCCGCGTGCTGTCGATGGGCTCCGCAAAAGACAATCCGCTGACGTCGGCAGAGGCCGTTGAGCTGTCGGACGCACTGATCAAACGCGCGGCCACTATCATAGAGTACGACTCCGTGGCCTTCCCGGTGCTTATGGTGCGCGACAAAGAGATCTTCCGGCTGCTGATGGCGAACGCCATATACCGACACCCGGACAACATATCGCTGCCGTCGGGCTACGAGCCCCCAAACATGGCCATCAGCGACCTCTACTGGAAGGTGTGGCTCCAGTTGTTGATACTGACGGCGCACAACCCGTCGCAGTTCGGACCGCTCGCGTGGGACGGCTACCCAACGTTAGGCATACTCATCGAGATGTCGATCACCAATCACTTCGAGTTCCCGCCGCCGACCAGAATGTGCGACGACTTGGCGAACCGGGAGCTCCAGATCGCCGCCTACGAGAAGCAACAGATCCTGCAGTTCGAGTCGTATTTGGCGGCCGCGTCCACCAAAGTGCAGATCAACGAAACCAATAGCCTATTGCTGTCGAAACTCATTTCGATGGACCCGTTAGGACCGGCCCGTAAGCCGCCGCAGTCGGTGTTGGACCAGTTCAAGCAGTTGAATACTGTGCTCCGATTGGGGCACCTGTTGTGTCAGTCCCGCAATCCGGACTTCCTATTAGAGATCATTCAGCGCCAGCAGCGGCAGTCGGGCGCCGGTGGTCAACAGGCGTGCGCTTCGGCGCCGATGCCATGGCTCGTGGAGCTCGTGGAGTCCAATGAGAACAACTTCGGTATGCTTCCCGTCCAGTGCTTATGCGAGTTCCTGTTGGGACAGATCAGCGAAGAGGAGGCCAGTCAGTCGCAGGTGACGGGCGGCTACGAGTCGAGCACTAAGTTTGAGAAAAGCAAACGCAAAGAGAAGCGCCGGAAGCAGATGAAGCTGATCGCCCACTTGCAGCAGATAATCGCCGCGCAGTCCCAGTGCGCCCGCAGCGACGACTTGGCGAACCGGGAGCTCCAGATCGCCGCCTACGAGAAGCAACAGATCCTGCAGTTCGAGTCGTATTTGGCGGCCGCGTCCACCAAAGTGCAGATCAACGAAACCAATAGCCTATTGCTATCGAAACTCATTTCGATGGACCCGTTAGGGCCGGCCCGTAAGCCGCCGCAGTCGGTGTTGGACCAGTTCAAGCAGTTGAATACAGTGCTCCGATTGGGGCACCTGTTGTGCCAGTCCCGCAATCCTGACTTCCTATTGGAGATCATTCAGCGCCAGCAGCGGCAGTCGGGCGCCGGCGGTCAACAGGCGTGCGCTTCGGCGCCGATGCCATGGCTCGTGGAACTGGTCGAGTCGAATGAGAACAACTTCGGTATGCTTCCCGTCCAGTGCTTATGCGAGTTCCTGTTGGGACAGATCAGCGAAGAGGAGGCCAGTCAGTCGCTGGTGACGGGCGGCTACGAGTCGAGCACTAAGTTTGAGAAAAGCAAACGCAAAGAGAAGCGCCGGAAGCAGATGAAGCTGATCGCCCACTTGCAGCAGATAATCGCCGCGCAGTCCCAGTGCGCCCGCGAACTGGTCGAGTACTTCATGAAGCGGCTGACGTTCCAGCAGTCGTCCGCCCGAGTGCTCGCCTCCAAAGCGCTGTCCCTCGTGATGACCACCACAGCCGACACCGTTCCCCACGAGGATAAGCCGCTGGCGTTCACCGACGTCAGCGTATGGCTGTCCGAGCGATTGCCGCTGAACCCCAACTTCGCGTTCATACGACAGTCGGCGTGCGAT